ACCCGATACACCGACTGAACCGCGTCGCTCATGACCGTATGGTTGACCCTTAACGTTCCAAACGGGTATCCTGTTTCGACGAGGCGAGGTCTTCTGATACCTGTGTGTATGCCCTTCGCCCGACCCCTTGGGCTGAGTTTTGCTGCGTGTGTTCCGTTGCGTGGCTGGGAACGGCCGGAGGAATCCGAGCGAGTCTACCCGTTCCCGTCGGCTCGCCGGCGGATGCCGACTCGGGTGTCTTCTTCGTGTGGCTCCGGAGGCTGGTTGTACCGCCGAGAAAGGCTGGAACCGGAGCCTCGAGCCGTCGATTCCCAGGCGGCGGTCGGTAAACACCGTTGCCCTTCGACGGGACGAAGGGAATTCTCTCCAGTCACATCCGGTTCGCGTGCGGCTTCGCTCCGCAACAGTACACCGCGCGGGCTCGAAAAAAAAAAAAAAAAAAAAAAGTTCGAAAAATGAAAACATTGGTGTCTTTTCCACGGTCTGTAGGTCGGGATCGCATGCTCACCTCTGTGCAGTGATTCCCACCGTAGGGATTTTCCCCTACGCTTAGGGACTTTTGGTGTTTTAGAGCGCTTTGTGGACGTAGGGACGGAACTGCTGTACACAAAGAAAAGTTTTTTTTCTGTCCTTTTTTCTTTCTTTTTTTTTTTTTTTTTTTGCTCTGTGTGTATTATTTGGCCCATAATTTATGTGATGCTGAATATGCGCACACTGACTTATTTTAACGCGTTCTATGACTGTTTTTATTAAGACACTTTTTCCTGGACATTTCGTATTCGTCTGCCTGAAATCTGCGACGCATTCTTTACGTATTTTTTTTGTTTGTTTTTTTCCTTTGCGTAGGGACAAGTGTTGGGACTTTTTCTGTCTGATGTAGGGACATGTAGGGATTATTGAGGGCGTGTGTAGGGTTTTTCGCAAAAAAATAGTTAGCATCACTGCCTCTGTGTTGCTGCTGGCTGGGCGCGCAAGTGACTTGATGACCTCTGTTCGCTAGCGTTTGCCGTGGGATTTTCACGTAAAAACTTGGCTTCGCACTGGACGCCATTTAAATTGCCCCGTAATTTTCGGGTCTGGGTTTCTTTCCTGTGTAGGGGAGGCTCTTTCGAGGCTATAGGGATTGGTCCAAGAGAGACCGTATTTACGCGGTTCACCCGCGCCATTCCACTGTTTGGGCACGAGCATAAAGTGAAAGTGTACAAAACTAATTAAGCGGCAGCAAGCATGGTGGCGCAACCATAAGCCGGCAAGAAATAGTTCGCATCGGAATTGCCATTGTCGAAATGGGAAGATGAACGATGCCATTCTATTGTGCTGATCAGTGCCTCGTCTCAGTTTTTCCTAAATTATAAAGAAGTTCGACCATCGAATGTTTTTTATTAAACGCACGTAATTAAGTTTGCGCTTGAAGCATTTCTTGTGACCACGTTTTCCTCAACTATTGCGGTAGCTTTTTTGTTTGACGAACATGACTACTTGTGGCTAATTCTGCGCAGGTTTAATCACCTGTGAAATGGACTTTGTTTTTCTTTTCTTGGACAAAGCTCGAGGTCTCTTTGCTTTGCAACTTCCTTTTAAATAAAGTGTGCGAGCTCGATGGTGGAGGTGGTGGGAAAAAAGGCGTCGGCGACCGTTGCACTTCATTCCTTGCCGACCCACCCTTCCTTTCCCAAGGAAGGTTCGAACTCATGAAATCAACTTGGGGACAGACTAATGGGTCAGGTTTAAGGAGGTGGGGAGCCTGCAGAGAGATGACGTCACGGCCGAAACGTTGCCTAGGTTTATTTTGTTGACCAAATATTTTAAACATTTCGTCGTGAAAAAGAGCTGTTGTATTTCGATTTTTTTGTTTAAAAAGTTGACATTGGGAAACTTCCGAGGACTGTCGCCGCCGCCGCCCTCTCTCTCTCCCCCCCCCCCCCTCCCCCTCCCCCAAATATGCCCATGAATCAACTGATAACTCCGCTTTGAAAGCGTGCTTTGCTTGCGTGAGGAACTTAGCGAGCGAGCCGCATCGTTGCCTGTTTCTTGTCACCCTCGCCGTACTGAGAAATTAAGCAGAATAATGCAAAGTAGACTTTAGGATTGGCGCGTTTAACTCTTTCCGTGGCCTTACATTTGTGTATGCGTGTGACATCTGCGCCAATTGCGCCATTTTGATACAAACCCAATTTTCTGCGCCTAGTTGCGCCAAAAACGCGAAATCGGTCGAAATTGCGCCACACTGCGCCAAAATAACTCACAAAGTAAAAAAAAAGAAAAAAAAAAGGTTTGCGGTGACGCTAGATTTAGCGGGGAACGAGAGCTTGGTTGGCAACATTCAATCTCGTCGTAGTAAAGTACACGGCACAGGTACAGGGTGGCGCAAGCAACCGCCGGATTCGAAGATTTCAGCTGTATACCATTCTATACCTATGATACGTGGTCTTTTCCCGATTTTCCTTCTACTTTCCGCTGTCATTTGTGACTGCATGCTACAGGTGCGTTCTCACGCGGTCTCCCTGTCTGGCCGCGGGAGGTACGACGCACAGGCTATCAAGATGAGCAAACCTAAGTATTTCTTTTGTCTGAGAGGAAACCTTTTCCTAAAAGTGCTATTGAGCGCCTCCATTGTGTAATTCATCATTTGTGTCCGTAATCTTCTCGGCGAAATGGACGGCGCCGTCGGCGTGAGTACTGTCGGTTATCACACACGTGCTTCGATTGCGTGAACAATCGAAGGAATCGGTCGCACACCGTATTTAGCGTGCATCTGCTGCTCATCGTTTTTCTACCAATTGACTATGTTCCTTGTGTCTCGCTTTTGCGTGAAGCTTTTTCTACCTGCACATGCTTTCTACGAGCGTCCGATCGATGTCGGGTTGTAGTGTACCGTGCTTCCGTGTTGATGCTCTCGAATCACTGCTTTAAAAAGTTTCGCTTTGGCACCAGTACTGTAGACTTTTCTGTTTCGAAGTTGCTCCGAAATGCATAAACTGCTGCTCCAAAACGAGAATTTTGTGCTCCTAAGCGGCTCCAAAATCCAGATTTTTCTGCTCCAAAAATTGCTCCAAAATCGGTTTCACCTGTCTCACCCCTGGGTATGCACCCTCTCAGCCACTGGGTCTAGCGTGAGCGCGTCGCCTACTACCACGAGCGATATATACGAGCGTGAGCAGCTCGCTATGCTTTTTGGCGCCCCTAGAGCTGCCACGTTCTTTAGAGGCACTCTAGTCCAAACTATAACTCCCTGTCGTTTCGGCGAACTCGTTTCGTGGAGTTACGTTTCGTGGGAAAATTTTCATGGAGACACGTGTCATGGACACTAACGTTCCATAGGCACTCGTTACTCGAATTGCACGTTGTAAGGAGACTTAGTCGCGCGTGTATCACTGCGGTGAGTGTTAACATCCCCCCCCCCCCCCCCCCCCCCCCACCCCCCTGTTTACACCGCTTCGCCGGCAAAAGTCTGCGGCGGCTCATTACACAAACTTGTTAACCCACCTGAACCACCCGTACACGCCGCTTCGCGGCGACAGTCTGGTGCAGCTTATTACAGAAAAAAAGCTAAGGTCAGCTGTCCATGGAACAATTTGTCGATGAAACAATCTGTCGATAAAACATCGTTCGATGAAGTGATTCCTACCGAAACTATAGTGCTGGAGCTCCAAGTTTAGGTCTCTAAACGACCAATCGATAGCTAATGGCGATCGTCCGCAGTCATAGGAAAGTGAGAGCGAGTGTTTGTCGCTCATATTAGGTGGGTCTACACTGCCCGGCACGCGTTTCTATTTCTTCTCATTTAAAGTGTCGCTAACAGGACGAGCACGTGCTCGTCACCTTCCATCGTGCTTAGGTTGCGCGAGCACGCTCGAGGCTCATTAGGCGCCGAAGCGTTATGGAAGGCAGTGAAGCTCACGCTAGAGGACGGTGAACTGATCCGTTTTGATCCTCTCCGTAAAGATATTCACTGGCGGCCATAGCTGTGTGCGCAACTGCTGAGCACGTGCTGACCTCGAACTTCCGCAGTTCTTTTGCAACGTGCATTCCACGCCACCGAATTGCCTGTCTTAGCATCCTGCTTATGTGAGCTCGTTCTGAGCATGCGTTCTAAACAGCGCCCTTAAATGTGGCGTCCTTGGAATACCCCCTGTAGTGCCTACCTACTTCAAATGTTAACGCCTAAGTTCGATTCTGGTCCATATCACATGGGTGAAGGACGTTTTAGCGAATCACTGGGGCGTGTGTTAACCCACCGGCCCCTCTGCGTTCACGCCGCCTTCGTGGCGACAGTCGGCGGCCGGCTCATTACAAAAATGTGAACCCACCTGACCCACTCGTAAACACCGTTTCGCGGCGGCCGACCATTCGCTAAAGTGTCCTTCGATGAAAATTCGGCGCTCGCTAGAACGTCGTTCGACCAACTGAGTGCCACCCGTTCGATTCCCAGAGGTAGACATTCCACCTGGCTGGTATATTCAACGATTGCCTCAGTCCTTGTGGAACCAGGTAGACAGCCGGGGTCCGCGTGCTAACTGTGCCGCGCTCTGTATCCAGCAAAGTCCTAGCAACGCCGTTCCGAACAAAATTCGCGCTGCACCGGTAATGTCGATTGATGTGGAAACTCTGCGATGACGGCTTGGCTGATGCACTCGAAAAAAAAAAAAAAAAAAGATGGTATAACCAACCAGCCCAAACCAAAGTTAGAAAAAAAAAAAATGGCACACTGGGGCTAATTTTACGCGTGGGCCGTGTGCCACTCATAACTGCACATGATCCATGTACTTGTCACCTTCGTCCGCGTTTCTTGAGGTACAGTGCGTGTTACGAATGAAAATCAGTCGCATTCTCTTGGTGTTTCTGTGTGTCGTGGTTGCTGGTGTAATCTGGCGATATAGCCTCAGCGTGCGTGCATTTTTAATGGTGGAGAGTGGGCGTTTTGCACGTCCCGATCTGCGTTTTTGTGCCGTCAGCTCGGTTGGGGTTCCGAGAGGTGACCGAGTCCGCTTGGTTCGCAGGTGCTGGTGGAGTTTGACAGCTTGGACTGGAAGCGCCGCGAGTGGATCCGCGTGTACGAGGACCGCTTCTCGGTGTTTCTCGTCGAGGAGACCCTAGCGTGGCACGTCCGGAACTCGGGCGACTCTGCCGTCCCGGCGCTGGTGAGTCCGCTCTGCCTGGGGTTGCCCCGATTTGCACCCTCGCCTGTGCAAACCACTCGCCAGTAGGCCGTCGTTCTGCGCTGAAACTGCGCTAACCAGATGCCTTACCTGATTGTTTCCCTGGTCTGTACTGTCTGTACCGCTGGATTTAGGCCAGCTCGCTCGTCGGAACAGACGAATTCGCAGTAGAAAAGTCGTCGAAGGGCGGTTCGTCAAAAAGGCCATTTTGTCGCCGTTTATTTATTTATTTATTTTTACGCTGCACTTGGTTTTGTCGTTTGAACACGGATGCGTATTAGCGTTTCCCCATTTTGCACACATTTAGGTACGGTGCGGGCGGAGGGCTTGACCACGGGCCCGTGGTCAGTTCGCTCTTCGAAATAACTATGGGAGCTTGCACCAGCGTCCACTAGCAATCAAACAACGCCCTAAACGCGAAACGAAAGCTCCCAAAGCTAGACATTTTGAAGCGTGAAAGCCTGTTGGTGGTTGCATTGGTAGTCAACTTCTGGGTGAAGCCTTTAGACTTTTTTTTTTTTTTCCGAAATAAATGCGTGTGATGGGTCAAATCCTACAATAAAAAAAACTTGCGTAAAAAAAAGAAAAAGTACCCGTTAGTTTTATAGAAAAGCATTTAAAGTGCCATCTTGTGGGACCCGTCAGAAACTTGATTTGTTATTTTCGATACTTTGGTCGTTTGTTACAGAATGTTGAATTCCTTTTCTTTATTCTTTTATAGACCTATATGTATCAAAAGCAATTCAGACTGTCTTCTTTTATTTTTATTTTTTTGTAGAAAGGAACTTTTTTTTATTTTTACAAAATCGCACACTTGTTGCGCAGACCTCAATTTCAGAATGCTGTAGAAAAAGAGCTGTTAAGAATTACGACGCGAAACAGCTATCCGTATGTAGCTTTAAGCATGGCCTCTTTGGTGATATATCGTTTGTGTAGGTTACCGTTATGAGACTAACATTATCCTCCTCCAAACTTGTTAAAAATATAAAATTTCGAGGTATTGAAAATCAATTATCTTAAAAAAAAAAACACCTTTGTTTTTGTTGGGTGAACCAAATATTGGTTCACCCTTTTTTGTATCTTTAAGACAACTAATTTATAAGCCTTTTTTTTTTATCTGAGCTTGTAAAAAATCGATAATTCGGAGCTAATTGAGTGGAGGACGATATTCTCCAAAGAGCCAGTATTTATTTTCTTCACTTTTTGAGAAGATTCCCCCTTAAAATACAAAAATAACTGGATATAATTATAAATATTGGTTGACCTTTTCTTTTTGCGTTCTTGGGACAACCAGTTCATTGAGTCACATTTCGGCTTAACTCTCAACCTGCGGCTATGGGATGCTGGCTTCTCCACAGCGTTCTTGGTGGGCTCAAAAATGACAAATGTTGCAAAAAGTCCACTTTACCGTGACCTATTTCCTGATGTGTCTCGCTCGCAATATCAGGCCGTACCCCGAAACATGACCCCTGCCTAAAATGAAGCACTTGGGCTTTATTGGGTCGCCTCAAAGCACAGACCGTGGCTAGTCAGCCTTCATGATCTGCCAGGACGGTGTTTTCTTTATTACAATAATCGCTGAAGTGTCACGTGACAGGGAGGGTATTCATAAAATGGAGTTAACATAAATGAATCACCAGTCCGAATTGCGTTCGTGGCCGTGCGCCGTTTGCGCTCTTCGGATCGAACAATTGAGTATGAACTTAGGTGAACATGCAGGATAACCCGTTTTTTTTTTTGTTTTTTTTTTTAGGTAAATTACATAACATCTATATATTATTAGATTAGCAATTGTAAAGATGAAAAAAAAAATTCCTTAGTTGCATAGGACAAATTTTTTTTTTTTTTTTTTGCATCCCAGAGCAAGATTTCCATTAAATTTGAATGGCTAGAGAAAACTGCCCGCTAAGCACCATGCCATCAAACAGATATATGCATAGTAAAGCGAATTGGCCGGAAATGAAAGCTATCTGGTCATATTTAGTTCGTGGAGGTGAAGAAGGTAAAATAATTGCACAGGCTGTTTTACGAAACTCCGGCCAATTCGCTTTTGCAAAAAACTACGCATCGCAGAAAAGGAAGTCTGTTCGACTTTTGCTATTTAGGAAAAAAAATATAGTTCGCAAAAATTAAGTCATTCTTTATTAATTTTTTTTTTTTTAAATATTGAAGAATAGAAAACCATTGTTTTAATCAGAAACTTGCTGGACATCATCGCAAACCACTAAATCAACCAATTCCAGAAAGACCTCGTGCATCATTTTAACGACGTTCCGAATAAGAGGCCTAGTTTGGACGCTTTTCTAGGCTTCGATTTTCCTATCAGAGCGCAGCTTTGCACCAACGGCCCTAGTTCAAAAACACGTAGTAATTTATTGGGTGTCCTCGTCGCGCCTGCCACGACCCACACGACGCACCGGCCTTTTATCAGCGAGGCAGCACGCTTGCCTGGTCGATTACAGCTGATCGCCTGGCGGTGGAGATGGTCAGAGATGGTTCCACATGCGGGCAACCTGGTCGAACGTTTTGTGCCGCCAGGTTGCCCATAACCTTTGGGGTAAAGTTCGTTGGAACTTTGTTCAACTTTTAAACTTCGCAGGTTCGAAAGTGCGAACATTGTGAATGTATTAGCGTGACAGATTCAAAATAATCCTACTTCTTAACAAAAAAAAAAAAGAAAAGAATGCTTTTTTTTATTTTTATTTTTTTTGGCGTGTGATAGTTGGGAAGTTTGAAAATTATCGAACCTTTCGAACCACTTTGTTCGGTCTTCGCACCTCAAATTTAAAAAAAAAAAAAAAAAAAAAAAAAAAGTTTGAGGCGTTTTTAATTGCTAGTTGTAGCCTTGTTTGCCATCAAAATCGGGCCGTTCAGTTTTGTTGGTGTTAAACCGGTGGCAGCCGTTTGCTCTACTTACGTCTAAATAGTGGTTAACTCGGCTGGTAGAGAGCTCCGCTGGAAATGGAGAGGTCCCTGGTTCGATACCAGGCGGATTTTTTTTTCAGTCGCGCACCAGTCACTTAGCTGTGCTTGGAGATTTATTTGTGTTTGTCCTTTGTCCCCCTTGTTCCCCCTCTCGAGGGATTTTTAGGCGGAATGCAAGTCGGTCTGCTTTTTGTGCACGAGTTGCGATGACGTCAGAACGACGCAGACTCCTGATTGGCTTTGGTTGAAAGGGTAGTGGGTAGACCTCAAGGCTTTGACGCCTTGGGGTCTACCCACTATTTTTTTTTTTTTTTTTTCACTCAGCCAATAAGAGCTCGGCGTTCTGACATTATCGCAACCCCTGCACAAGAAGCCGACGAACTTACGCTCCGCATAGTTATGTTTTTTAGCGTGTGTGTACTTGGAAACTTGAACATTGTCCTCACTCGTGGATAGCAGCGAGTCATTAGTGTGAAAAGGACATTCGCGACTCCAGCGACTATGGGAAAATATGGCGGTCTAGAGCAGGCCGTTCGTTCGCCTTGCCATGTGCCAGCTCAACGCACAACGTTTCATTCGCTATGCGTTTCAAACCTGCGGTGGTGTGTTGGCGTAAGGGAGCTTCCGGAGGCTTGACCCTCTTCGGGGAAGCGGTGGAAGGACTGCGGTGCCGGTGACCTTGGGTTCGGACTGACCTTGGCGCGACGCTGATACAACAGTGACTGCAGAACCACCGGGACTACTGTTTGATCGCGCCAACCACCGGCAACATGTAATCACGGAATGCGCGTGCGACGAGCAGGAATCCCGAAAGGACCTGTTCCGTTATGTTCGATGTTTTTCCGCTAGGTATCCCTGTTTTGCTGAAGTCCCGATACTCCGTTTGATACTTAGTGTATAACAGCATTGGCGACGTGCGCGACCGAAAGCGTCGCTGTGGTCGGCCTTCCACGATTGGCCCAAAAGCTGACTATGACGTCGGAAAGGGTATACCATCGACGGATATAAGAGGAATGAAAGAACTTTAATTTCGACGGTGTTGGCTGTGTTGCTTTGAGAGCGCAATCATTTCAGGCTTCCACCATGCTATTTACAAACACCATCGAACTTGTTGTTCGCAAGGTAATGACGTCACAAGGGGGAACCATAGGAGGGCGCCACCGAAACATCTCGCCGCTAATAACGCTGTCGAATCTGCTGGCGCGAGCGCGTGGCCTGATCCTGCGGTCCATTTGCACGTGCCTGGCGTGAATGAATCCTACGTATGGTGCAGTACCTAAGCACCGTCCATATCTTCAGCGATGGTTCGACCTCGCCACTTGGTTAGACAGTAGCTGCTCCACGAGAAAAGTGGAATTTTTCTCGTGGAGTGCAACTCGGACACAAACCATCATCCGCTGCCTTCGAATTTCATACGAGAGGCCCTCCGTCAGATCGAAAATGAACGGGCCCAATTCTGGACAATGTTTGCTGACTGCAAGTCCGCTCTTCAGGCGATCGAGTCTTTTTGACAAACATCGGGTGAGTGATATTTACTCGCTCATTCATCGCTCCGCACAACCTCCGCACACCATCGTAGTTCCAACGGTTTCTAGGTCACATGCAGTATCGCCGCTGACGGAGCTACTGATAACGCAGCGAAATCGGCTCAGTCGTTTCCCTGTACCTTTCCCACACCGCACATAGCAGGAGTGAGGCGAATGCCGCTGCTCGTGGAAGCCGTCGAGAAAATAAGGAAAACAATTCTGGACTTGCAGTATAATGGACTACTTCCGACTGCGTTATTTGGAGCCGACACTTATACCTCCATCTGGACGGTCACCGCGTGCTGTGCTTCATCGCCTTGGCGTTGCTTTTGCCATGTAGCACAGAATGCGGAGCGCAAGTTGGTCTGCTTGTGTTGCAGGGGTTGTGGTAACGTCAGAACGCCGAGCTCTGATTGAAGAATAGTGGGTAGACCTCAAGGCAGCTTCCTTTGAGGTAGATACCCACCGTTCTTCAATTAGACTCAACCAGAGGTCGACGTTCTGACGTCACCATAACCCCTGCAACAGAAG